TTGGAGGCAAACGGACGTCAGCCATGAAGCGCTAACGTCTCGTTGGTGCCTCTGCTAGCCAAGCGCCCGCTGCATCACACGCAGCTCTCGGTCTGGCCGTTCGGCATCCAGGGAGCATTGTAGACGTCGCGTTCCTCTTGGCTGTAGGTAGTGGGCGGGGGCCTCGGCGGAAGCTAAGAGCCCCAGCGCGTTACGCAAATGTTCGCTCGGCTCGCTCGGTGTCCCAGGTGAACTGAGTACGCCCTCGACCTCGACCTGCTCGATGGCGACTTTCCGGCGACACCGACGCCCAAGATACACTTTCTCGGTCGTGAGAGCCCGGAGAGCCTGAGTTTTGAAGCCCGAAGAATTGGCAGTGATCCGTTACGCCCCAGGGCTGCTTGCGTAGGCAGGTCGGCGTCCCTCTTGCTCTGCGATTACGACAGTGTCGGCCGCCTATTTGGGCTCTGGGGCCATGGGACGGCACGCCAACATTTTGCTACCGGCGCTGCTACCGTTCCGAGTCGCGGCCTTGTCTGTTCTAGAGAGCCAGGTGAGGCAGAGATTCGCGTTTTGGTGGCGTGAATTGCTTGAACTGAGGGAGGGTGGCACGCATGAAGAGCACGCAATCTGGGGTCGGAATGGGAAAATGAGGGTGCTCTGTCGGTAGCGAACAATACTAGATCTTGAACACGCGATGTAGAGGCGTCGAGCGAATCCGTGACTGCGACAGGCCGTGAGTAACAAACAAATTGAACGATGGCTAGACTTACTGTCAGAAATGGGAGCATGCGCGGCGGCCAGAATGGCAAACCAATGATCCTCCTGGGCGATGCCGCTAACAATATCTTCGACTGAAGAGGCATCTGAGGCACTCCGGCTCTATGGCGAAGAGCCAGTCCAGTGCGACAAATAAGTAGGCATTTTAACTCGCTGACAACGACGTAGAGTTGGAGCGCTCGAGAACAGAGTGTTGTACGACGTAAGGGAGACGGCAAGGAGGAGAAGGAAGGGCATATGGCGATCAATATGGAAAATGGGAGAGCGAGCTCGATTGGAGAGGTAGGCGGATCCAGACCGCACTGCGTCTTGGAGCGTTGGAGTTGGCATTGAATCGAACGAGGGAGGAAGGTCCCAGATGCAGATCGCCGCCATCGAACCTCGACGTGAGTTCGGCGCATTCGAGAATTGATAAAGAGCACTCGGCGAAGCAGGCGTAGGCGTCGGGAAGTGCTATCGAGAGATTAGCCGCCCCGCAAAGAACACAAAGACGGCAGTGGCACCCACCAGATGAGCAATCCCAGACCGTCGGCATAAGTCGCACCCATCCGCGTTCATATAACTCGTTAACAACTTTATGCCACTTTGTCTCTCCCGGTTCATTCACCGCCATGGTCTTGGCCTTTTTGAAGGGATCAACGGCTAATTTTCAATGCTTTGGCAGCCTTAGAAAGTAACGTACCTAACAGCATGGCCCTTCATGCGCGTAGTTAACACTCCTAGGCGTTCCTGTCTGGCACTCAGCCTTTCCGTAGGTGCCTCATGTTGGTTCCCCAGGCGGAAGACGACCATGCGTGGGCAAGCAAGGAGAAGAGGGCGCGCTGTAGTGGGGAGTTTGCAATATAATGTCCTTTTCGTGTCTCGTCTGCAAACACGCAGGCCGAGAGTCGTTGGATGGGCTCGAGCGCTGGACCTGACGCAGTTCTGGAGTCGAGACCGGGGATGGGTTCAGAGAGAAGACAAGAACTTGGAGGAGATGACAGCGAAGACACGCGTGACGTCATAGATCAGTCTCGCAGCTGTCACTCTCGTCACGGGCTCTAGACCGTCACGTCTGCACCGTTCAAATGTTCATCGACCTCCCCCATTAATGCAGCGAGACCTCACCATAGACGTACTAGCCAATACCCAGTGCTCCAGAGGCCTGCACGCTTGTTTTCCCTGGACTAATCGGCATTCAAAACGCCGCTGGCCCCCTGGCCGAGTTGAAGACTCCCTGAACCAGTACGGCTGAAACGGGAGAAAGAGCGATAAACTTGCGATCCTCAACTGCAGCACTTCCCGAGAACGATGTTGCGAAACTGCAGCCCGGCCGTACGCCCACCGCTTGCCTAGACCTCTGCTGACTCGTCGACAACTCCAAGACGTCGTCCAAATGTTCCTGTCCAGGCCATCCACGGCGACCGGAGTCGATACCTTGAAGCAATGAGCAATCGATTGTAGACGCTTTGGCTTCGCGGTTTTCCCACTAGCCATTCGCGAGAGTAACGAGTGAAGGAGAGACAGGCGAAAGAAACGCTGGACGGTGAGTGACCCGCCGGTGTCCAACGCTTCTGCATTCTCAACACACACAGAACAGACTGAGTCATCGAGCTGTACAGCCTATCTCCAGCTCAAGCCATACAAGCTCTGCTTAAGCAGTTCTCGCAGTCACCGCTGAAGTGAGTCCAACCTCCGTTCCGCGATGCAAGCGCGGCCTGACGGGCTTGGATGTCCAGCACAAGATTGCCTGGGCCATCAGGACAAAATGATGGTCTTTGGATGCGGCCATGGAAGGGAAATTGTCAGGAGCACCTAACAGAGAGAGCGTCTCAAAGGTCGCCGCCGTGCTGCTAGATGGGTGTGAGACGCGGCCAGTCAGAACAGCCGTTTTACTCGTGCGTCTCTATCTGTGTGCTTTGGCCAGTCCGCTGACAGACAGTCGGCGACCAGGAGGAACTGGACTACGAGCAGGTTGCGCTCGTCGAGAACGAAGACCGTGGGCATGAACGAGGACGGGCAATGGTGCATATGGAGATAGAGATCATGATGCTACATCGAGTGCGCTCCATTCCTTGACTCGACTGCGGTGTTACGTTAATTTACTCGGCGACGTTCAGAACACCGACACCTCTTACCTCAAGGTCAGGCGGCAATTCACTAATACCCTGTACATCTTGTGAGTACCATCGTGCACACATCCGCCGTGCGGCCGCTGATGCGCCATCCTCCTCCTCAGCATTCCACATGATGTCCTTTCATCCAACCGGCACCCCCGCAGCTCCCGACCGCGCAGCTCTTGAGCAGGCATCAGCTCACGCACGCCGTTTCCAACGCGAGTCACCAAATCGGCAATTCTTACCGGCGTCGCCGACTGCGCGTCTCTGTCGCATTTGACCCGTGGGCGTGCGCTTCGGCGACCTGGCAGCGCCGCAAACCCGGCGGGACGACTTCATCGAGCGTCGCTCGAACTCTACGCGGCCGAAGCTCGGCTCGGAGGAGTACCGCTTTCTCATCCGCATCCTGGATCCGTGGACGAAACCCCAAGGAGGAACAACCGGAAGGCTGCCTACGCTCGTCGGCGCTTGCCAGCGACCAAAGGGGGGTTTTTTTTTCCTCTCCTGAATTTAAAGTGCTACCTACGGAGGGTAATGTACACCTGTTTACTAGCATCCGTGCGCAATAAATATCAGCGTCCATAGCGGCGCAGGAGTTTGAGGCTCCAATAAATAGTAGACAAAATCAAAGACCAAAATGTCTCATTGCTCACTGTCTAACGGTGAGCATGGCCATGCTGCAACTATTTGTGCAGCATGACCAAAGGGGTTGTGGAGGCAATGCGAGCAGACTTACGTGAGCCGCGCAGAAGTGGGTCTCGACATGATCCGTGTTGTGTCGAACAGAGACTGACACCGCCCTGCAGGCTCCCTGATGCAGGGAACTCGTTGCAGCAGGAAGGAAGTTGACCCCGAGTAGAAGCGTACTACCTCGTTATGGACAACATTGCGGAGCTCAATGTTGCGCTCAAGAACTGTGTGCCAACATTAGCTTTACATGTAAGGTACAGGGAGAACAGGACGTACGCTGTTGCTAGACGTGGACCTGCGCCAACCTACAACATGCATGGACGTGTCCTGCGCCTGGGTAGCAGCGACTGAACCGATACGCTTATGGTAGCTATCGTCCGCTCGAAGCGTTGTCTGATCCCTTCGCATCGTCTACAGTAGTTCACGTATTGCCTCGAAATACGAAGGGCCGTTTGTAATACAATGTTGAACTTGGGTCGGCTGATATATTCGTATTCCATGGTTGCATCGCTATGCAGTGCCATAAAGGATGGAGAACGCAAGTTCCAGCCAAATCGAGACAGCCTCTTTGTGGCACGGCGCTTGCGCCCGCAGCAGCCGTATCGCGCCAACGATGTCCGAGCTCCCTGCCATGCAGCTACAACAAAAGTATGTCCTATACATTGTTGTGATTTTGCGCCCGCATGCGCTGTAATTGACGAACACAAGCGTGGCTTTGCTCCAATGTTGCCCCGGCGGCGGGCCAAGTGACAGTTTGGTAGGACTCAGCTGATTCACGACCCGGAGCCATGCTGCAAGTCGTGCGGCCTTCTCCAGTCAACTTGTGAGGCATCTATGTGGCGATTACTGTCACATCGCCTGTGGCACGACCGAGACTCAGGGTAGAGGGCCATCATCGCACGGTCATTCTGCTGTGACTTCCTCACGGCAACTCCCTTTCATCAAAGCTTCTCGGCGAGAGCAAGGCAAGGGCGTGGCCAAGGACGCTCGTACTCGCTGGCGGTTTTAACCGTTCGAAACATTCCGTTCCTTTCTGCCCTCGCCATCTTCGTTGACGACCCGACCCATGCGCAGGTTCAAGAAGAAGCTACGGAGTCGCGAGACTAGAGATGCCGCCTACACCGCCGTCAGTGCCCTGAAACAGGCTCTTGACATGTTCAATGGTGTTGCCAGCAATATCCCTGTGCCGGGCTTGCAGGCTGGTGTTAGCGGTCTCTCGACGGTGTTGGACATGGTTCAGGTATGAGCTCTGGATCGTCTCATGAGTACTGATACTCATGCCGAGACCAGAAATCGCATGCGAATGTTGAAGACATAAACAAGCTCACCAAGGAAGTTGAAAGGCTTACGACAACAGTGAAGGAATACACAGAACTCCATGACCAAAAGTTGTCGCCTCGGATGGAAGCAGCTGTCAACCAGCTGCTCTTGTAAGTTTTGTGTTCATGGTGTTGCTCCACGTCACTCATACTACATAGATCGTGGGGGTCTGTCAACGACGAGGCCGTAGAGATCAAGTCGCGATGCAAAGCGCTGAGATTGGTGAAGAGCAGCGAGGACGCAGGAAGGGTGGCCGGATTCATGCAAGATCTATCCAGATCGATCGGGGAATTTACGGTACGGAAGATTCACTCTGGATCATATTACTTCTGCTCATTCGGACGTTGCCTTGGACTGTAGGTAGTAGGCATCCTTGAGATCCAGATTGCGTTGAAGGCATGTGAGAAATGTGCTTCAGCTGCTCATACTGACGTTTGCTTTGGACCGACAGGATCAAGCGCGTGTCGCTGAAGAGAGGGGTCAACGTGTAGAGATCGAATTAGGGGCCATCAAGAGTAACACCCAAGTAAGGATCTCTTGGAAAAAGCGTGAACCACAATCTGACCTCTGATCCTTGCCAGGGCTTGGAGTCCCGTCTGGAAGGTGCGCCCAGGCCCAGCCTAACGATCCTATTGCTCCAACCATTGTCACCTAGTTAAATCTTTACCGCCTTTTGCGGCCCTGGCGCGATTCGACTCCAGCCGCGAAGAGTGCACGAATTGCCTCGAAGGGACACGTACAGGCATATTAGAAGACATCCACACCTGGGCGACTAATCGACATGTGCCTGACGATACCGCGAACTCCGCGAGGCAACCCGCCAGCCATCAGTCCAGCGTCTTCTGGCTGAACGGCCAACCTGGCTCAGGCAAGACGACGATCGCACGAACTGTCGCTTCGCGATGTCACGCAGAAGGCATCCTAAGCGCGAGCTTCTTCTGCTCTCGGTCGGATGCCGAATGCAACAACCCGTCCTTGATCTTCACGACCATCGCTTACCAGCTCGGATTGCTCTTTCCATCTTATAGGGACCGAGTCTCGGAGATACTGAAGAAAGATCCCCTTCTGGCGCACTCTGCCGTCACTCGTCAGTTCGAGGAGCTGATAATCCAGCCGCTGGCACACCTCCGTGACCTACACAACGACGGCTCACCCATTCCGCCATGCGTTGTGGTGATCGACGCACTGGACGAGTGTCGAGACCCGAAGGCCACGTCTGCGATTCTGTCCAGTCTGCTCAAGCACGCAGATAAACTCTCCCCCCTCCGATTCTTTGTCACCAGCCGTCCCGAGAGGCACATCGTCGCTACCTTCAACTTCCCTGGCTATCGCAATGCGTTCGGCCAGCTACCCCTACATGAGGTCGAACTGGAGGTCGTCACCCCCGACATCAACCACTACATCACTGTTTCGTTTTCGAAGATCGCCGAGTCCTTACGAGTACCAAAGTCATGGCCCAACAGGCTACACGTTGAGGAGCTGGGTCTGAGGTCTAACGGCCTATTCATCTTCGCCGCGACTGCAGTCAAGTATGTTGGAGACACGGTGTATGGTGATCCCGTTGGACGGCTCGAGAGACTCATGTCCGCCACGGCAGAAGCTGGCCCCCATCAGTTACTCGATGGACTGTACCTGGAGGTTCTCAAGACTGCCTTCCCTTCCATGCCGGACGACCTGCCAACACGGGTGAAGTCCATCCTAGGTTCCATCGTCGTTGCCCAAGACTCCCTTCCTGTCTCCGGCCTCTCACGTCTGGTTGGTCTCTCCGTTGACACGGTGTACAACACCCTCAGTGGTCTCCACTCTGTCCTTATCGTACCGGAGTCTGAGACGTCTACGTCAGCCATCCGGATAATTCACCCGACCTTCGCCGAATTCCTGATCAACTCAAGTCGCTGCACGAACCAATCATTCGCTGTCAATTCGCAGCAGCAGCACACAGAACTACTTCGCGGAAGCCTTAAAGCCCTGCAGGAGCTGAGGCGGGACATCTGCAATATTCGGGACCCCTCTCTGCTCAACACCGAGGTTCCGAACCTGCTCGATCGTAGGGAGGAGGCAATCCCGGCGCATGTGATGTACGCCTGTCGGCACTGGTGCACCCATCTCGTGAACGGAGGGCTTTCGTCTGTCGAGATTTTCGAGCCACTTGTGGAGCTTGTGGAGAACCGGTTGCTGTACTGGGTCGAGGCTTGTAGCGTGCTGGGAGTGCTGAGGGAGGCTATCTTGGGTCTGAGTGAGTCCCGACGCAAGCTCAGGGTGAGTGCAATTTACTCTCTGCAGTGCCTCTTGTGTCTAAGATTTTGAGTAGGACCTGGATGACGACCGAGCTCGGAACATTGCAGTGCTGTTGAGCGACTGCGAGCGGCTCATTGTCGGCTACTTCCCTGCGATCAGTGGTTCAGCGCTGCATTTATATCATTCGATCCCGCTACTCATTCCGAGGAAGACGGCACTTGCGCAGATCTACGCAGGCGAGTGTCGCGCGGAGAACTCTGTTAAGGTTTTCGGGGGCGTGACGGACTCTTGGAACGCTTGCCTGGGCACTGTCACTGCACATGAGGGTCGGGAAGTCTGCGCTGTCGACTTTTCGCCCGACGGCAGGGCGATCGTCTCTTCAGGATACGACAAGAAGATTCGGCTTTGGGACGCCCTCACCTGCACCCTGCTTCTCGTCCTCTCCGGTCATTCCGACTGGGTTCGCTCTGTCAAGTATTCCCTGGATGGCGCTCGCGTTGTCTCCGCTGCTCATGACCGCACAGTCAAGATTTGGGACGCCATATCCGGCGTGCTTCTCTGCACCCTGGAAGGGCATACGAATCTGGTCTTCTGCGCAGTCTTTACACCTGACGGCAGGCGCATCGTGTCTAGCTCCTGGGACCATTCCATCAAGATCTGGGATGCCGATACAGGAGCCTGTTTGATGACCTTGACCGAGCATCAAGCCTGGGTCAGATCCATTGCTGTGTCTCCGAATGGCATGTGGATGGCGTCAGGCTCAGATGACATGGTCTGTCTGTGGAGCCTGGAGGCGCCGTACACTTGTCGAATCTTATTGGAGCGGGAACACGAGGACTTAATCCATTCTGTCACATTCACACCAGATAGTTCCACAGTTCTGACTGCCCCATGGGTCGCAGGCTCGGGACAGCTGTCTATCTGGGATGCCAAGACCGCTGAGCACCTCCGTAACCTTCAGTTACCAGGCCAACCTTTCTTATCCACCTGCAGTCCCAACTTTCCCTCAGCCGGAGACAAGTTCGCGTGTGGATCAGGGAACTCTGTTCTCGTCTTGGACCTTGCAAGTGGCGAGGTTCGACAAGCGTTCTCCGGGCACACCAAGGACGTCACCTGTGTCGCCTATAGCCAAGACGGGACTCGCATCGCGTCTGGCTCAAAGGATGGCGCTGTCCGACTGTGGGACGCGACGCAGAATGCAGTGAACACACCGCAACTCGAGAATGCCATCAAGTCATCCGATCCGCCCAGCGAGGAGTCGGCGGACTGCCGATTGACCGTCTTCTCTCATGACAGAAGTCGTGCGCTGCTGGTACGCGGCAACGATTCCATCGAGATGTACAAGACGGACACGTGGGAGTGTGCATACAAGCCTCTATCCATACCATCAAAACACAGGCACCACGTAGCGTTCTCACCAGACGACGCGACAATCCTTGCAGCATCAGAGGGAGATCGTGGCGGGGTGGCACTCTGGGATGCGGCTTCTGGAGCACTGCGCGCCCAGTGGGAAGGCGAGCTGGACGTGGCGTTGTGGTCCCCCTCTTTCCAGTTCGCGTCCATGTGGAGCGGCGTGTTGGGTTACATGCCGCACTGCTTCGGCGGCCAGTCGTCGAGGATCATGTTCTCGCCGGACAGCCGGTACCTGCTCACACCGGCCATCTCCGGAGACGAGAACATTGGACCGTATTCTGCCTGTCTCTGGGATGCCGCAACGGGCGAACTCATCAACGAGTTTGTCGGACACAGTGACGTCATTCTCTCTGTCGGCTTCTCCCTCGACGGAAGACGCGTCGCAACGGGCTCCCGCGATAAGACTGTCGTCATTTGGGACGTCGCGACCGGGGCACGTGTAGCGACGTGTAGGGGACATGATGATTGGGTGTGCTCAGTTGCCTTCTCTCCTAATGGAGAACACGTCACGTCGGGAGATGGTAATCGTCGCGTTATAGTACGGAATGCAGAGGGAGGAGAGCTGCTTCAGTTATTCGAGGGGCATACGCTCTGGGTGTCGTCGGTCGCCTTTGCTCCTGGTGGGGACGTCGTCATTTCCTCTGACTACAATGCCAACATGCGACTCTGGGACATCGCAACGGGCGCTTGTCTCCTCATCCTCAACATGGCTACCTGGGGCAGCACCGTGCGACTGTCCCCTGACGGCTCTGGAGTCCTAGTTAACGATGACAAACGACTCATTCAGCTATGGGCACCTCTCAACAAAGATGTGCCGACGACGACATCGCTTCCTTGGCTCCCGCGCCGCACCTGGCCTATATACTACCAGGAGGACAGTTGGATCTTCTCGCTGACGCCAACTCGGCGGACACGGCTGTATTGGGTTCCGGCAGACTGGCAGGGCTTGAAAGGATTCCTTGGGCAGGATGTGCTGTTTGGGAAGCAGGGTGCTCGGCTCAATTTCTCGGCGTTGAGTAGTTATCTTGAAAGCTTGCACAATGATAGCACGTAGCAATGTATTTAAGTATCGGCTGCGTTTGTTGTATTATCTCTGCTTCGAGTGTAAGGTAGGGGTCGCCAGGAACGGGCACCCTTACATAAGCGCTGTCACGTGATCGTGGGAGGCCAGTGGACAGGCAGGGTGTTGCCAAATATAGAGCTTATACGCATCAGCGCTCCCGCGTGGTAAATCACGTGACTGAAGGCGCTTGCGCAAAATTCGACCTCTCGTTAACACAAAATCTTGCCAATTTGGCCAGTTTGGCTGAAAAATGTGTTTTCTGCTGAGACCACTTTTCCCCTAATAACTCGATAACAATGCCATTTACAAAGGTTCTGCTGAATAGGAATTGTAGCCAGAGCCTCTTCTGACATTTCCT